ACACACACACACACACACACACACACACGCATGCACATACATACACACACGCACACACACACAAATAGGAAAAGAGAGATGAGGGAAGGCTGCAGACAGATAGTAAGATTTCTGTTCTTCTTGCTCTTTAAAACTATAGCAGAAAAATGAAAATCTAACACAGAGGCAAAATTTCATTCTTTCTCTCACAATCATGCAACTCACCCCAAAGCACACCATGTACCCAGACCTCTAGAACACTCCCTGCTAGGCTCAAACACAGCCCATATTCATAAGTTTCTAAATTGGTACCGGGTAACAGCCTGGAACAAAATGAATATTCTGCTCTCATCCTGGTCCGGGAATATCCACCTCTAAGGAAGCCCCTTCCCACCATACTGTGATGAGAACGTGCCTCAGCCACGAGCTTACCAGGGACACTAGGAAGAACAAATCCAAGAGCTTTACAGCACTGAGCTGCATTTTCTCTCTGCTCAGTCGTCCTCCCACAGCCCTGACCATCTTTAACATTCAAGGCTGGTAAGCTGCTGCCTCTGTGCTTCAGTGGTAATGTGCTATCTCCCACCCTTAAAGTTTGGCAAGTCTTCTGTTAGCTCAAGGATGGTCAGATCATCTTAGAAACAAAGACCAAAAAACTACGTCTTATAAATTTAAAATCTGGAAACCAAACCGAAAAACTTAAAAAGATTAATCTGAGGGCTGGAGAGAGGGCTCAGCAGTTCAGACCACCGCAGAGGGCTTGCGGAAGACACGGGTTCGATTCCCACCACGCACATGGCGGCACCTGTCACTCCATTTCCAAGCTCTCCCCTGGCCTCTGCAGGCCTGTGATACACAGACACACACACAGGCAAGTCACCCATACACACAGAATAAAAACAATCTCTTCATTTTAAAGAAGATTGTAAAGTCAGAAGCAGTAAAGACTCCTGACACTATCTGCACATGTGGTTCCACTGGAACTATTGTGTTCGGCGATTTCATTATAACTTAGATTAGGATCTGCAAAGAAATGTATAACCAAGAGCCAGAAATATCTCGGATCCCCGCAGGTGACCCCATATGACGTTTTAGAGGCAGATGGGAAAGAAAGGCAGACTATCAAACATAGACCGGGCCTCACCTCTGTCTGTACCATCAGAGGCCTGTGCATCCGGAGATCATAGACAATACCATACACATCCACGGTGTTCTCATTCTCTATCTGATAGATCAGACGATCGATAGCAATGAAAGTGCCCGTCCTTCCGACCCCAGCACTAGAAAACAAGAGACATGAGCTCATCACCATCAGCTGCCTTCACCATGGCTCTCTCGGTTCCCCCACCAGTACCCACATCTCCATTATCACTGTTTGAGGCTAACACAAAACATTGTTGCTCGACTGCATCTTCAAGCAAGTCAGGGAACTAACCTGAGTTAAATGTCACAAACAAAACATCTTGCTAAACCATGTCCTACTTCATGCCACTCAAATGGCCCTGTAGCCTAGGACAAAAAGTTCCGCCTATTTATGAAGCCCCTGCTCTAAATTAATTCTGTGGTCTTTAATGCTGAATTCTTACTGTTCTACTGCAAGAGTGTGCACATCCTTTCTGTAAATGACCAGATGGCAAATGTCTTCAGGTTAGCAGACCATGCATGCCACTGCAGTATAAAGGCAATGCAAATGATATGTAAGCCAGTGGGCCATTATATATAAAACCAATGAGGCTGTTTTTATATATAAAAACAAGCAGCTAACCCTGTCTGGCCCACAGGCTATATAGCTTATCAACTCCTTCCTACAGTCTCGTGGCTCAGGGACTAAGTCTTGCAGACTATCCTTGAGTTTCCAAATGCCTACTGCATTTCTTCTCCGGCATTGTTTTGGCGGGGTGGTGCTCATCAACATTATTCCATTTTAAGTTGCCACACATGCGTGAGCTGCCCACTGTGCATACCTGCAGTGCACCAGGATTGGTGATTCCGGGGGAATCTGCTTCATGTAGTCTCGGACCAGGTAGCGAAAGTTGATGAGCAGGTCAGTGGTGTCAGGAACACCGTGGTCAGGCCACGAGGTGAAATGGAACTGCCTCAGAGGATGACTCTCACTTGTCTGCATCTAGAAGCCAACAAAATGAGTCAGGGATCTCGAGAGTAAGGATACCCAACAATATCGCAAGGGTGAGTGAAGCCACGCAGTACTGGAGAACATTTTTGCACAAGCAGGACAACAGGCAGCCAGGCAGGAACAGTTCCAACCGGAAATTCCAATCACAGCACATCTGACCCCATCACCAAATCCTCATAGCATTCCCAGGAAGGAAGCGCTTCATACCCCCCACTAAAGACATGCAGCAGAGGTTCAGAGGAAGTGGGAGGGACCCCCCTCCCCTGCCAGGACTCATCCCACATGGAGCCAACACACCCAGCTCAATTTGGAGTTTATATCACTTCTGTTCTCAGCTATCAGCCAGTAAGAGCCCCTCACCCACACACCAGCTCCTCCTGGGAACTTCAGTAGCCCCATCCTACAGCCCACCTGGAAATGGTACTTCCCTTAAATCCCAAAATCATTTCCCTAAGTGTGGGTAGGTCAGCACCTGCTGGGCAAGAACCACCTAGTAAGTCCTGGGCTCTCCAGATCATCTTTGGAATATACAAGCAGCAAACACCAAGCAAATAGAACTATAGAGGTCTAAGAAAGGAACACACAAGCACACACACACACACACACACACACACACACACACACATATATACATACACACGCACACATATACATACACACACACACACACACACACACACACACACACACAGACTCACAGTCTGCCACTTCAACATCTGGCAGGCAGTGAACAGTGAACATTATTATAACAAATCTAGTCAATTACACCAGTTTGTATTCCACCTTAGACCAAACATGCCCGGATTACCAAAGCTCTGCCTCTGGGGCCAGTCCTGTCCTTGGTTCAACTATACTCATTTGTCCGTACCTGACCTGATATATGCCCCCCACAGCTGGGCACTGAGCATCTCCATCACTGAAGCTCATTTTTAATGTTTATTCATTATAAAATCAATAAAGTTACATGATCCAAAGTTTGAGAAATAGGAAAGGGGTCACTGGGGAGCCTCACCCCAGATAACCAACATCATAAATGTTATCCTAAAGGTTTACCGAGCAAAGAATCCAGCTGTGAGGAGCAGGGAAGAGGGAAGGAGACACAAGAAAAACAGTGGAAAGGAGAACTTCTTGGGAGTAGTTCTGCAGGGGAGTAGGGAATAGGAGGGCAAGGGCTCAAACATGAGCTTCAGTGATGGAGATGCCCAGTGCCCAGCTGTGAGGGGCATATGTCAGGTCAGGTACGGACAGATGAGTATAGTTGAACCAAGGACAGGACTGGCCCCAGAGGCAGAGCTTTGGTAATCCGGGCATGTTTGGTCTAAGGTGGAATACAAACTGATGTCATTTACTACATTTGTTATAATAGTGTTCACTGTTCACTGCCTGCCAGATGTTGAAGTGGCAGACGGTGAGTCTCTGTGTGTGTGTGTGTGTGTGCGCATGTGCATGTGTATTCCTAGTCTGTCGTCAAAATAAAGTGAAGCTCTATCAGTAACGTTCTCATTCTATAAAGGGAAATGTATGCATGCATTTTGCATGCATACAAAATTAGAATATGCCATGTGGAAGCTTATACTGGGTCCTAAAATAAGAGAAGGCTTCAGTGGGGAACATGAAATCTCCAGAATCTGTAGTTTCCTTAATAGAAACACAATGAGCGCACCAGCATTTGCTTTAATCATTTTGCCAACTCTATGCAAAGTCCCAGGTGAACCCCAAGCAGAAGCGACTGTGGGTAACAGACACACCAGTCAACTTAAACGGGCCAAGCCTGCAGACCTAAGCATGACGTATTCCAAAAGTTTCTCACTGACTGTGGCTTTACTTACTGAGGTGGTCACACCACCGTGTGCTCAACATCTCCAAAGGAGGACCTGAAATATGTCCTAAGGCCAGAGTCTTTGAGGCGGTGTAACTAGTAAGAGTTAGGGTTTTCATATACTGGGCCTCACTTACGTCTTCAGGAATGTTTAAGGTTCATCCTTGCAAACTATGACCCACTCTATCAGCCCCTGTTAAAATATAACACCATTTAATCTACTTCTAGGCTTTTCTTTTATGTACTCTGTGTGGGTTTTTTTGTTTTGTTTTGTTTTGTTTTGTTGTTGTTTTGTGTGTGTGTGTGTGTGTGTGTGTGTGTGTGTGTGTGTGTGTGTGTGTTAGCCCTAAGCTAAGCAAGGCAACACAAACCTATAATTCCAGTACTGAGGCTGAGGCAGAGGTTCATGTGTTTAAGGCCAGTCTTGGTTACCTAGTAAGATACTAACTATCTCAAAACTTTGTCTCCTAGCATGTATCACTGATACTACCTTTTCACATCTCCTCGTGGAAACTACATTCCTCAGGATCCATGTGGATTGATCCCAGGAAAAATCTGCAAGTGTTCAGGTTCCCAAAGTGATACAACCATGTGTGCATGCAACCTACACACACACTCCTGTGCACAGCCATGCACACATATGACAGTATGCACTACACAGCCCAAGTGCATAGTAGGCTATACTACCTAGGTTCAAGTACAGTCCATGACGTTCACACAGACAAATTCCTCAGAACACACCCCTGTCATTCAGCAACATGTGATCATACTTTAGATCATTTCTCAACTGTATTACCTAGTGTGTTTTAAATAGTTGTTAAACTGTATGGCTTAGGGAATGATGGACCTAATTGTACATGTTAAATACAAACAACATTTTTATTCTGAATATGTTCAATCCCAGGTTGGCTGAATTCACAGCTGAACTACGCAGCAGAGGTGAGAAGGGCTGGCTCTATACAGACACAATATCTCTAAAGGCTGGGTGATGATGCCGCATGTCCATAAATCAGAGCTTAGTTATCCATTTTCTTATGCATCAAATATTAGTTATCTTCAACCTATAAATACCATTCCCAAATTCATATCCAATCATTTCCTCAGCTCAATCTTGACTTACATTTTTCACCACAAAATCTCTGATGGTCCACTCCGGAAGAACCACTTCCGAGGTCATTGCCACAGTTATGTCCCCGTAGTCCTGAGCCTGCTTGGAAGGCCAGTACTCCTCACATTTGGTCTGGAACACAGGTTTGGTTGTATGAAAATACAGGAGTCACACCCCCACCATCAGCAAAGACTCACAAGGAGACCAAGTCATGAGACTGGTATTGGGCTGCTCGGTCCCTCAGCTGGCTCTGTCTCACCCAAACAGAGATCTGCACGCATACTAATCATTCCAAATCATATAAACAAATCTTTATGAGAAATGAATCGGTTTGTGAGGTGGTTCAGCAGGTAACACACTTGCTGTGCAAGCCTGAAGACCTGTGTCCTGTGCTCAGATCCCATTTCCAGAAACATCACATGGAAGCTGACCTTTGACCACATATTTGCTGTGGCATGTACACTCTCCAACACACACAAACACATCATACACACAATATAATAATTTTAAGGAATGATGTCTGACAAGTTCCAGTAACCACCTAGGACAGCACCACTCATGGTGAACACCTGGCCATCAGCAGCAGCCATACCACTGAGCTGTCAGAACTCCGCCTCTCAACAAGGAGGGCTGAGGCAGAAAGACCCTGCAGACGGCTCTGGAGGACAGGAAGGAGTGGGCATCACTGGCTCAGAGACTCTTCCTCCTCAAGAAAGGAATCCACACTCAAAAAAAAAGAAAGAAAAGAAAGGAGGGAGGGAAGAAAGAGAGAGAGAAAGGAAGGCAGGGAGGGAGGGAGGGAGGAAGGGAAGAAAAAGAGAGAGAGAAAGAAAGAGAAAGAAAGAAAAAGAAGAAAGAAAAAAGAAAAGAAAAGAAAAGAAAGAGAGAGAAAGAGAGAGAGAAAGAAAGAAAGAAAGAAAGAAAGAAAGAAAGAAAGAAAGAAAGAAAGAAAGAAAGAAAGAAAGAAAGAAAGAAAGAAAGAAAGAAAGAAAGAG